TGTATCCATTTAAATGAAGGAGTTCCAAGTTCGAAGCTCAAATACCACGGTATTTTGTTATTTTATTTTGACAATTACACACCATTAAATTATATCAATGTTTATTTAAGAAAATCGACAGACGTAGAGGGAGTTCATCAGTTTTCTTAAATCAACTCCCACATTTTCTGACATAATCAAATCCATTGATTTTAGGCAAAACAAAAAAAAAAAGAGGTGGCACATCAATTTCATTTCTCGATTTTCGATCTATTTTTTATTAATCATCCCCAAAGAGTATGAATTGATAAATATTCCTCTATTATTGAACAAAAAAATTGAGTTCAAACATCAAACATGAAGCTATGCATAATCGAAAACATTTTACTCATAAAATGAACTTTCTGACATAAATTTAAATTAATTAAAATACATAAACAAAAGAAAAATTGACATCACACAAGATTACAAGTGCACCAACAAAAAATTTCAAGCACTTTTAATCCTCATCATAACAAGCTAGGAGCAAAATAGACCTTTGAATTTAAACAATATACAATACCATATCTTAAAACAAAATAGGTAAAAAGAAAAAAACTTTCTACCATTAATAATTAGTTCTCTTTTTTTTTTCTAAAAGTTTATAATTAACTAGTCCTTCAAACTATATGTAAAGTTGGTGCAAACAAAGCAATTTTCTTGCAATTATGAGATAGCCATTTAGAGTGCATATAGCTAGCTTTTCTCCAAGGTGGAACATGTAGACCTTTCTCTTTAAGGGACTGTTTGGCTGCTGAACAAAGCAAAGAGATAATGCCATTAAGTTTGTCCTCAGTACCCACAAATATTGATGGAAGTGAATTTAAAAGCTCTTGATATTCTTGTGTTGGCCTTGCTAACTCAAATTGAGACCTAAAATCAATATCCACTATTAATCTCACTCTTTCTGATCCATTGCTAATTTCTTTCATCATCACATCAATGTATTCATAATCACCTGTAAATTGAAATGCTTCAACATACCCAAACAAACAAACAAAAAAATCAGCAAAAAATTTCAAAGTTGGGACATAATTGTTTTTTTGCTTATTCTAAAAAAAAAAGGTAATTAAATAATTGTTTGGTTATACATAATAGTCAAGTGTTTACTCTAACTTGAAAAATCAACACCTTTAAGAATTGAAATTGAACCTGAAAAAAACATTTTTAAGTTGAAATTGTGTAGATACATGAATTTTATCTAAAAAAGGATGGATAAAGTTCTTTGAATAAACATTATGTTTTCACATGGAATACTTCTCAAATATTTTTTTCAATATTTCACCGTAATAATATCCAAACTAATATCCCTTTGTCTCAATTTAAGTCTCAATTTTTCGAAATTTCAAGATGCAAACACAAAAAAAGATATCAAATTTTTTTTCATCATCCTTCTTAAATTATTAATTATCATGACGTATAATACATTGTATAAAATAAAAAACTTAAAATTTCATGCCCAAACTCACAATCAAAATTAAATTATTTGATTCTTGAAATTTGAACTATATCACATGAATCGAAAAGAGGTGAGGGGGTAGAATAGTACCTGAAGGACTTCCAGAAGAGGTAATCCAAGAAGTTTTACAAAGAGAAGCTTCATACTCATCCATTCTTAATCTATTCACAATCCATTGTCTCAACTTTTTAGGCTCCATATTGTTAACCATGTTTCTCCAATAAAACAAGATTTTCCCAAGAATCTCTTTTTCACCATCACTAACATTCTCAAGAATATCCTATAAATAATAAAAAAAAATAAAAAATTGGGAATTTTAGATAAACATGAAAAGAAGATGTCAACATTATTAGATGAAGCAAAAAAAATAAAAATAAAAAGAGGCAAAATGTACCTTTAAGGAAAGATAGGTATTATTAGGATTATTATGATCAACAAGTTCATCAACTTGAAAATTTTCACAATCCATTTCAATAAAATCTCTAACCATTTGGGACAACTTATCTTCATCAAGTTCACAAATACCCATAATTTCTTTCTCTTTTTTGTTGCTTCTAATGTTGAGTTTTTTCATATCATATATATATAGAGATAACTTGTTCTTTTTTTTTTCTTCTTTGTTTTGGTTGGAAGCTTTTATGTATTTATATTAGATTAAAAAAATAAAAAGAGGAAATCTAAAGGATTAATTGCTATAAGATACGATTAATATTTCATTATGTCATCAACAGAATATACATGTCCACATCATATACTCATCAATAGAGTGTTGGAGATTAGGATAGGCCATGAGTAATTAAAAGTAATTAACTTTAGGTCATTTCCTTTCTATTTCTTGCTTGACTTTTTAGGGTCTTGACTCTTGACCCACAAAAAAGTTGTTAACTAATCTATTTCTGATTACAGTAGAGAAATCAAAATAAAAGATATAAAAGTTTATTCACTTATATCCAATTAATAAATAATAAATATATGGTAAATCCTTGAATTATTAATAAATTCTAATTTTTGTCCTTGTAATATTTGATTACATATATTTAACCTTTAATTACTTGAAGTGTGTACCTAGTTCTTTTATTAGTAAATATTCAAAATTATAAATTATTTTACTATAATTACTCATGTATTATGTTATCCTTGTACCATTACTGCACTAGAGGATAATGTATTTCTAGTAGTTCATATATAGCATATTTTCCGTATAAAGGCACATTTTGGGTTTGTTAGAATGAAAACAAATGTTCTCTATAAAAAATAAGTAAGTTTTACTTACATTTTTGTATTTGATAAGTAAGAGAAATATTCTCTTAAAAGTATTAGTATATAATTTAAACAATCGTTATGAAAGATGAGAGTATAAAGTAGCTACAAGTTTGGAGTGGTTGAAATGAGGGCCTACAAGTAGAGTTGTCACAAAGGGCCGGCCGAAACCTCGCGGGCCAAGTAATTTGATAGGCTAGGGTGGGCCGACCCTTCATTTGGAAGGACCTGAAAATGCTCAATCCAATCCTAGAAGGGACGAGGGCTGGGAGAGCTAGCCTTCTTTTTTATTTTCAAACTTAAAATTCTATTACATCAAAAAAATGAGAAGATTTTAAAATCAAATATAGCAAACATTGGTGTTGTTTCAAAAACACTAGCAAAAAATCTAGTGTGATTAGCATGTATCTAGGACATTAGATACGCGAGATACATGTATATAGTGTGATGCATCCCAGAAACGCGAACGAGATGAGAGGGAGGCGAGGGTGCGGGTTTGTCTATGTATCCTAGATGCATGTGAATTCACTTGGATAGAGTGTATCTAGAACAAATTAACCTAATTTTGAGTACATGTATCCCGAGATACATGTATTTGTAAGTACCAAAATCTGGAAAGATTCGTAATTTTACAACATAGCGTGCATTTAAGTAATTAACTCATATACTAGTGAGATTGTTATAAGTTACCCTTAAATAAATAGTTTTGGCCCATGAGCCGACCCCGGCTCAGCCCCCATCAAGCCTCAAGAGCCAAGGGCTAATATGAGTTAGGCTTATAAGCCCTAGTTTCAAATGGACTTGAAAACTTCTATGCCAACTCAACCCCTTATAGGCCCTAGGGGTTGGATTGGACCAACCCCATGGGCTAAGCTCATTTTAACGGCTCTAGCTAGAAGGATTGGGTGAAGAAGGGGTATTATAACGATCCAAAATGTTAAGGTAGTGAAGGCACCCACTTTCTCCGTTAGCGAACTTTGTTTGTTTGACAATTAATTAATAATATAAATAATCTGGAATAAACAATTAACTTATTTAGCAATTAATTAAGGGAAAATTGTATAAAATAACAAACTATTAATTCAAATTAAATGTTATAACCACAATTTGATTTAATTGTAACCCATAGCAAACAGTTGTCATTCGTCTTTCTCCCTAGGTTTCTCGCTCGCCAGTCTCTCCCTCACCTCTCTCGCTTTTATACAAACACAAATGTATAAAATGCGTTTGTGTCTGTATAAAGCGATAGAAAACCGTATATACAAATACGAATACATATAATTTTGTCCTATACACTATATTATACAAATACAGATATTCCCCTGCACAGTTCTCTTTTGCCTTTCTCGCTTTATACAAACATAGATTATACAAATTACAATGTATAATTTGTGTTGTATAAAGCGAGAGAGAGAGATTTGATATACAAATATTTTATTTTGATTCAATTGTATACAAATTCAAATTTTATGCAGATATACAAACACATAAAATTGATTTGAGAGGTTGCCAGCGATTTATACAAATGTCCTGCTAGTGAAATTATACAAATTTGAAGCTCATGTCAGCGAGTTATACAATCTGATGCTCTATAGCAAACATAAAGTTTGTTATGGAGCGCAATTATACAAACTATAGTTATAACATACAAATATGATTTTTATGTTTGCTATATGTGAAAGTTTCTCATTAATTAATCGTTCCCAATAAATCATAAGTGCGAGACTAAAAGATCAAACGCAAAGCAACTCCAAAATCTGATAATAGTAGCACAAGACCATTTACAAATACAAAACAACTCTCAAAAATCTAAAATACTTCTTTAAAAGGAAATGGATATAAAAAAAAAAAACTTAAAAAGTCTATGGAATTCAGTATTACCGAAGAGAAAAGTAACTCATCCTAAACTCTTGAAGCAAAAGTCTCGATCGCAAGTTGCAAGTCAAGAACCGTTAGTACCTATTTAGTCTTTATACTCAAAAAAGAGTTGTTAAATCTCCATAACTGGAGCTATTCTAGAACCTTCTATGGAGAAAAGCTAACAGAAGAAGAGAGAAAATCAACTGTAATTTTATTTCATCTGTTTCACTGTTACATTGAGAGAGTGAACTGTTTCCATTTATAGATTTTATCCACACATTAGGTATGCTCATATTTACACATTAAATGACTTATTTGTCTTCTAACTATCTTTTGACAGACTTGATGACAGTTAACTAACTCTTAATCCATCAGTTTGCATCTCTTGATTCAACACTCCTCCTCAAGCTGATGGCTTGAATATGTCTCTTAGTCCCAGCTTGCTTATCAAGTATTCACGTTGAACTCTTCCTAATCCCTTTGTGAGTATATCTGCTAATTGTTCTGTTGTAGATACATGGTCTGTTCTAATCATGCCTTGACTGACTCTTTCTCTTACAAAATAACAGTCAATATCTATATGTTTGGTTCTCTCATGGAGTATAGGATTAGCAGCAATTTGAATTGCAGCTTTGCTGTCACATTTCAAGTCTATAGGTTATTGAATCTGAACTCCCAATTATTTGAACAACCCTGTCAACCATGTAAGTTCTGCAGTGTATGCAGCCATGCTCCTAAATTCTGCTTCTGCTGAACTTCTTGACATAGTTTCTTGTTTCTTGGCTCTCCATGAAACTAAAACTCTTCCAAACTTCACCAGATAACATGTGACTGACCTCCTAGTTTCTAGACAAGCACCCCAATCTGAGTCACAGTAGGCTGATAGTTGATTACTGTTCTTAGCAGGCATGAATAACCCAAACCAGGTGTACCTTTGATATATCTTACTACCCTTAGTGCAATATCCATATGAGACTTCTTATGGTAATGTATATATTGGCTGAGAACTTGCACTACAAATGTTATATCAGGTCTGGTCATAGTTAGGTATAATAACCTTCCTAGTAGTCTCTGATACATAGCAGGATTTCTAGTTCATCATCAGTTGTTGCCTCATGCTGTATAGCTTTGTCATATACCACAGATGTCAGTTTCAGATTGGTTTCAAGTGGAGTCTTGGCTGGCTTTGCTCCACTTAAACCTGCTTCTGATATTAATTCTAGTGCATATTTTCTTTTACACAACACTATTCCCTCATGTGACCTTGCAACTTCTATTCCCAGAAAGAATTTAAGTTCTCCAAGATCCTTCATTTTGAACATTTCTTGCAGATATTTTCTAGCTTGATCTATCAATTCTTGATTGTTCCCAGTAACTAGGAGATCATCCACATAGACAAAAATGAACACCAATTTTCCTTATGTCTTTTTTGTGAATAATGAATAATCAAAATGGCTTTGAGTGAATCTCATCTGGACAAGAGCATCAGTTAGTTTTCTATTCCATTGTCTTGGAGCTTGTTTTAGTCCGTACAGTGATTTGTGAAGTTTGCAGACCTTCTTAGACTCCCCATGTCTAGCAAACCCTTTAGGAACCTGCATATATACTTCCTCAAAAAGATCACCATTGAGGAAAGCATTGTGAACATCCATCTGATAAATGCACCACTGATTGGAGGCTACAAGAGCAATTAGGGACCTGACATTGACCATATTTGCCACTGGTGAGAAGGTTTCAGAATAATCTAACCCAGCCTTTTGACTGAACCCCTTTGCCACTAAATTTGCCTTATATTTTTCAACTTCCCTTGAGGCTTTATACTTCACCTTATAAATCCATTTACAGCCAATAGGAGTCTTTACAGCTGGGAGGTCTGCAATGGACCAGGTATGATTATCCACTAGAGCAGCAATCTCAAGTATTATAGCATGAATCTATGAGGGATTTTGACAGCTTGAGTAAAAGATGTAGTTTCTTGGATTGAAGAGAAAGCAGATAGAGCGTGTTGAAAAGAGGTAGAAAGGTGGGAGTAGGACACATAAGAAGACAAAGGATAAGAACAAGAGTTAGATATGATGAAGTCATTTATCCAGGCAGGAGGATGTTTGGATATGATTGATTTTCTGAGTTCAACAGCAGAGTTGGGGCCAGGTTCAAGAAGTGAGGAACATGTAGGGGCAGAATGAGTAGCTTAGGTAGTAGAAGAATGAGTGACCTCTAGACTAGAAGAATGGTGAGGGTGTGACTGAATGTTGGCCTCCAAGATAGGAATATCCAGTACTGGAAATAAATGAGTGGCAACTGACTTAACATTAGTGAAAGGGAAAACTGACTCTTGAAACACTACATTTCTACTGGTGAAAAAGGTCTTAGAGTGGAGATCATATATATGATAACCCTTCTGAGTTAAGGCATAGCCCATAAACACAGCAGGAATGGCTCTAGCAGTAAATTTGTCAGAGGATTTGGTAGTAGAGACATAGGTTAGGCAGCCAAAAACTCTGATATGAGATAGAGAGGGGGGTTGATGATATAAGAGTTCATAAGGGGACTGAAACTGGAGAAGTTTGGATGGAATTCTATTGAGAAGGTAGACTACAGTGGTTACACACTCTCCCCAAAACTGTAAAGAGAGGGAAGCTTGAAATCTGAGTAACCTGGCTATACCCAAAATGGTTCTATGTTTCCTTTCTACAACTCCATTTTGTTGTGGAGTGTAGACACAAGAACTTTGATGAATTATGCCAAGGTGAGACAACAAGGATTTAAACTCATTACTGAAAAATTCATAACCATTATCTGTACGCAACACTTTAACAGACGTAGAAAACACATTGTGTATTTCTGTAAGGAAATTTCTTAGTACATCAATGACTTCAGCTTTAGACTGTATGAGAAACAGCCAAGTAAACCTAGTAAAATCATCTACTACTATGACAAAAAACCTCTTGCTATCATGAGTTGGAACTCTATATGGACCCCAAATGTCACAATGTAACAATGCAAAAGCAGACTTAGATCTAGAATAACTCAAAGGAAAAGGAAGTTTCGTATGTTTTGCCAAAGGGCATACATGACATATATGACTTATAGGTTTGAGATGTCTGAGACTTGCATGTTTCTTGATGACTTCTAGAGGTGCATGGCCCATTCTTTATGCCAGAGAATACTAGACTCAGATGATTGTTGAGCAGTGTTGATACTTTGAGTTTGTGATTGTTGTGGAGCTTGAGAAAAGGTACTGCTCTGGAGAATGTATAGTCCATGATCTTCCCTACCAATCCTCTTCACCATGCTAGTGGAGAGATCCTGGAAGATGCAGAAATTAGAAAAGAAGGCTACTGAGCACTGAAATTCCTTAGTTAGTTTGGAAACTGAGAGTAGATTAATATTAAAATCAGGTAGGACTAGAACATTGGATATAGGATGACTGTTGAGGATACTTGAATTGCCTTTATGAGTTACAGACACCACATTTCCTATATGTAGATAAACTTTGTTCTTCTCAGGATTTAAAACAGCATGACAATTATATAACAACCCAAGGTCTGAGGTCATATGATTAGATGCACCTAAGTCTACAATCCAGCTAGCATCTACAGTAGTGAGTGGTGAAGTATTTACAATACCTGCATTTGCAGTTTGGGTGGTGGTTGTCTCCTCATTACCTTTACCTAACATCAAAAGAATCTGCTGGTACTGCTCCTAAGTGAAATAAGGTGGCAGTGATTGTTGTTGTTGGGAGGTACTTGCATGAGAAAAGCTTCATTGACTGAAGCTAGGCTTAGAAAAATTCATATCATAATCCAGCTCTTCACAGTTGATCACTTGATTAGCAAACTGGCCTCCCCCTTTCTTCTTAGATTTTGGTCAGTCTGGAGGGTATCCAATTAGTTTGTAGCAGTTCTCCTTTGTGTGCCCATTGTAACTGCAGAATTCACACACAAGTGTGTGTTTCCTTGGTGGTCTGACATTGTTGTTAGATAGTTGTCTGTTGAAATAGTTACCACCAGAGCTAGTGTTTCCAGAGTTCGTGCCACCTCCAACATAACTAGTGTTTGTTCCTCCATGTGATTCCTCCTCCACTGTAACTGGTGCCTACTTCACCACGACTGGTTCCTCCTCCACCATGGCTAGTGCTTTCTCCTATGACAACACTTTTCCCATATTTTCCTCTCAGATTAGAACCTCCTTTGTGACTAAAATATACTGCTCCTTCTAACACATCAGTGACTGACTTCACATGTGAGTCGGTTAATGCTCTTTGACTCTCATGATTATTGATCAAAGAATATGCTCTATTTAGTGTATGAGTATGAGACAACATCAGTATTTGGCTCCTACACTAATTATACGTCTCATTGAGTCCCATTAGAAATTGTAAAAGCCTTTGGTACTCATGATGATGAGATCGACTTAGGACAATGACATCCTGGACGAGGCATAAGTGCATTGAACTCATCCCAAAGAGTTCTCATTCTCGAAAAATAATCAGACACAGACATAGTCCCTTGAGTGAGGGTAACAATCTCTCTATGCAAGTAGAAAACTCTAGATGCATTCACAGTGTCAAATCTCTCCTTTAAGTCCAGCCAGACTTTGTGAGCATTTGATGCATAAATGATACTATTTAACAGTTCCTTCTTAACAGCATTCATGATCCATGATAGAACTACTGCATTAACTTTCTCCCACTGTTCATGTAGTGATGCATCAAACTTATCTTTGGTGTACCTACCATCAACAAATTCTAATTTGCTCTTTCCTAGTAAACCTAGAGTCATAGATCTACTCCACAGAGCATAATTCTCAGATCCAATTAACTGCAGTGAAATGAGTGAACTACCTAGAGTGTCATTTGGATGGAGGAATAAAGGATGATTGTGATCAATATCCACTCTACCAAAACCAGTTGATGCGATTGGAGCTGAAATTTCAGATCCTTCTTCTATCGCCATTGATGAACTACCTTTGTGCTAGATCTTCTCGATTCACTGAACTCTGTTGGATCGAAGCTTTGTCCTCGACCACAGTCTAAACCTCAGTGAGTTGATCGAAGCTCTGATACCATGTTAAATCTCCATAACTGGAGCTATTCTAGAACCTTCTATGGAGGAAAGCTAACAGAAGAAGAGAGAAAATCAACTGCAATTTTATTTCATCTGTTTCACTGTTACATTGAGAGAGTGAACTGCTTCTATTTATAGATTTTATCCACACATTAGGCATGCTCATCTTTACACATTAAATGACTTATTTGCCCCTTAACTAACTTCTGACAGACTTGATGACAATTAACTAACTCTTAATCCATCAGCTTGCATCTCTTGATTAAACAAGAGCAATAAATATAAAGTGAGTAAGCAAATGAACTCAACAAGCTCTGATTATTGACCCTTCTAGAAGCGATAACGAGATATAATCCTAATTGTTATTTATCCACAAGTATAATCATATCATAAAATAAATGATCATAACATAACAAATAAAACATGTATTTTTCGAAAATTAGTTATACCATTATATGTCTCATATGTAACAAATTAAATTATTAATATTACAATTATTTCAAACATTTCAACACTAAATCATTACGAAGTGTAATGGAGATGAAATAAAATAGTCAATGACCATTATTTCTATAGAAACTAAATTGTATAGGCTCCACCAAAATAATAGTCCATATTTAACACAAAAATAGAATCATTTCAATCGATCAACCAAATATGTAACTGGTCCTTTATTTTATGTGAGTAGGAGTGACAAACGATCGAATCGAGTCAACTATGAGTCGATCGAAAATGAGTTAAACAAAAATAAAACGAGTTACCTACTAGATAATATGGATACCCACCCCTCTACCAGTATAATTTTATAAAAAAAAATTTCACCACCCCTCTCTACCCCCCCCCCCCCCCCCCGGCTA